ACCCCATGGTTCCTGGAGAAACAGGTCTGCCTCAGTGCACCTCCTGGGGCTCTGTGCTAGCAGCAGACTTTCAGACAGTGGCTAGAACCTTTTCCTCTTTTCTTCCAAAATATTTTACTTTTTCCACCTCGGTCACTATTTCTAAAAGACAGATGCCTACTTCCATGAAGCATTTTTAGTGTCCTTGACATGGCAGTCACATCTCCAGGGATAAGTCAGGGGCCCAGCCTCACTGCTGGAGTCACATTTTTGGAGGATGATGGGGGACCACGCACCTCCAGCTCACAAGGACACCATATTTGCAACAAAGGCAGGAAGAAAATGGGGAAAGTGTCTTCCAGTACCAGACTGGGAAGCCGGATAAGGAGTCAGAGGACTTTGGGGCCCACGCCCAGTACCTAGATCACCTGGGACCTCACTTTGCCTCCTGGCCTCCAATTCCACAAAGGTGCACTGAGGTAGGAGGACTGGAGGGGCCTGGGATTCCCCCGAAAAACCTGCCAGACAGGAGGGTGATGCTCGCTCCCTGCTCAGGCCTCAGGGGGTTCAGACCCACACATTGGGAAACTGGATGGGTGCAGGGGTGCTGCTTGCCCCTGAGAAATGCAGCCAGCGTGTGATGTGTACGGGTCTGTCTGTCTCTCCATAGAGCAGGGAAAACCTCTTTATGGCCAACTTCCAGGGAATGAGGGAGACAACATTACCTGAGTACCCACAGCGGGCAGCTGCTACAAACCCTGTACACCCCGTAGGTGACTTCATTCTTATACCATCCCCCAAGGGGGTGGTCTGTTTACTGCCACGTCATAGCTGAGGACTCTAAAGCTTAGAGAAGTACGGTCACTTGCTCATGGTCACACACCTTATAAGCACTGGGCCCAGATTGAAGTCCAGGCTACTCCAAGGCCAAACCCCCAATTCTTCTCACCATGTCAGATTATGTCCTTGTAGATTTATCCTCGCAGCTGTGGTGATATTCAGAGGACTCACAATGGACAGGAAATTGGCCAGTGCAAAGGTTGGCTCTCAGTTCAGCCTCAGTAAGTGTTCGCTGGCTGGGTGCATGCACAGACGGGGTCTCCTTCGTCAAGACACAGAGATTTCACCCGAAATAAGCCGCTGGAAGCCCCAGGCAACACGGCTCCTCTTCAGCACCCACATCTGCTTCTTCTGCACTTCTCTGGATCCAGAAAAGAACCTGCCTCAACAAATCAACCCCCCAAATTCAATCCTCTTGTAAAGCTAATAAAAATGCCAAGTATTACCATAATTAAAGTTTTAAAATTATACCAAAATTAGTTAAATAGTTCCCATTACTCATATCATTTTTCAGAACGAGATAAAAGATAGTATTTACTATCTAGCAGGCATAATGAAAACCGATCTTTTAAGTGCTTAATGGATTTTCTGGTAACACTCAGCCTGCTCCCTAATTATTCTTAAGCAGGTCCAGTTTCAAATGCTGTCCTTACTGCAGCTGATGTCAGGAACTCCCAGATGCCTCCAAAGAGAATATGGATTTCAGGAACACAGATGACAGTGGCTCAAATCACGTCACCCAGTGAGGCTGCACCCACCTGCCAGTGCCTCCCTGAGGCTGATGTGAACCAGGAGTCACCGGGTCAAGCCATGCCTCCACCTGCCTGTGAATCCCACCCTGTGCAGGAAGGAACCTGCCTTCCGCCCAGATGCCCTGGGAGCTCTGTTGTGCTCCAGAGTGTTACAGCAAAACCACCGATCAGGAGGAAGGGCCACAGGCGGGGCCTGGAGGAGTCCATGTGCCAGCTCCCTCATCCTCTTTTCCTCCCATAAAGGGCACACGGAGCTCACTCTGACCCAGCCAGTGGCTGAGGCTTCTACCTGCGGTTTTTACTAGGGGCTGGTCAGGTAGGTGCCCTGGCCGATCTGTGAAAGACACGAACGCAGCACTGCATCTGTCTCTTTCACAGATCCACCTGCCAGTACAGGAATAGGCAAAGTTAGCCCCCTGTTAGAAACAGTCCCTCACTCCCCAGTGTTAAATGGAGACAGCATTCTCGGGGGAGCCAGGAGCCACTGCCTGAAGGGGCCTCTGAAAACTGAGAGCAGTCTGATCCTATCCGTAGACCACTGCACACTGCCCACAAGCTGCCCAGGCCCTGCCATGAATGAGGCAGTGCCTTCCCCGACCACTCTATTGTTAGGGCACAGAGGCACAGGCAGGCAGGAGGACGAAGCTCCGTGAGCCAAGTCCTACAGGCGGGCGTTTCAGGTCCTAGCCGTGCATATCCACCCCAAGTCCCTTTAGCTTCCAACCACACTGTCTTTGAAGGACCAGTGTGGACAGGTAGCAGCAGAATGGCTGTTCCGAGAAGACCCCTGACAGGAGCTCACGTTTAACGCCGTGCTGCCCGGAAGCCGCCACTTGGCTCTCCTGGGAAAAGTGGTTCCGGGCGCTGGGTCCCACCGAGCCTGGAGAATGTCCACGGTGTAGTCTTAGACTGGACACCCCACGTGGCAGTGATGTCATCGATCGGGCTATCCCTGAGAAGTGACTCAGAGGGTCACTTGAGGAAAACACTGTCACTGAAACAGGTCTACAACGAGGAAATAAGTGTGTCTGGTAAATCTGGCATTTTCCTCAAAGTACCCAGCAAACGCTGGCTTCACAGGCTGTAGCAAACCCAACTCCATCCAACCAATGGCGAGGTTCAGTTTCATTGTTTCTCTCTCAATTAAACATTGCTGACTGGGGCCAGCTTCACTTATGAGGGAAAAATGGGTTTAATGAGCTGTTAACGGCTTATCTATGCACAGTTACGACGACTTCCAGCACCTGATTATTTTCAACTTCAGAAGCTGGCATTCTCTCAAACAGATCATCAGTACCCATCATTTCACAATAATCGTATCGATTGTAAGGTTGAGGGATTACATTTGACTCTTAATGCTCTGTGATTTTATCGGGGTTTCTGAATAAAATTTTTAGGAGCCACGCAAGCCTTACCCACTGGAATTTCACACACACTAGTGCAAATGTTCAGTATTTCCAGCTCGTCATGTTTTTGGATTAGAAATCAAGAAAGATATTGGAGGGCACTTTAGAAAAGCATTGTTAGAAAAATAAGGATGCTGATGACGCTGTTCTTTTCTTTTTAAAAAGCTGTTTTCCAAGTAAATGAAGTTCTCTGAAAAACAGAGAATGTCTCAGAGGGGGTTGCATAGCCGCTGACTGCTCTCTGGAGAGAGGTATGTTTACAAGGTCGGCTTTCAGCTGCATCTGGGCGCTTGGGTTTGGGGCGGGTTCCCACCACTCTCTCTGCCACAACCGCATGTCCAATGAGGTTGGTGCTGGGCATCAGCTTTCCTCCTGGAAGTGGGGTATTCTGGAATTCAAGTGCCTAATGGGAAGAGGGCACCCACCTGACCAGCCCCTAGTAAAAAAACTCAGGTAGAAACCTCCTCCCATTTGTGTGCCGTGGAGGAGGGAGCTTTGTAGGGCTCCCATGGGGGGAAGAGAGGAGAAGGAAGCCGGCATGTGGACTCCTCCAGGCCCCGCCTGTGTCCCTCCTGACGCGCTGTGAGGACTGTGGGCTGTGTGCTGCCGTCATCCCCCCTCACCGTGAGTCCCAGTGAATGTCTGCACGTGGGGTGATCGGAGGCCCTGATGCAGTCCCTGCCCCTAAGTCGGGCCTGGCTCTGTGCAGGCAATGGCCGTCTTCCCCAGCAGCCTGGCCACACTTTTTTCTTGGGTTTAAAGGTGGAGAGCTGTGACAGGAGCTTCGGCTGCCTTGCGCCTGCTGTGCCCTGGGGCACCCCAGAGTGGGCACCTCCTTTGATTCTGCTCTAGAGCATAGTCTGTTTGGGTTTCCAGGCAAAATCAGCTTTCCATAGGGTGCCAGTCAGGGCGCCTCCCTCCCAGCAGCTGACCGTGGCCCTCTACCTGAGAGGAGGGACGGTGGCTCCCTCCCCACGGAGACAAGGCCTCCTGCTCAGCAGTCAGGGCAGGCTGGCTTACTGTCGTTGCAGTGAGCAAATGGCAGAGGCAAGAACAGCCTGAGCTAAGCCACAAAGGGGAGCACGGTGCCCGTACGTGCGACACAGGCCGTGTGCTCCTCTCCCCAAAATTCATAGGTTGAAACCCAACAACCAAGGTGACGGCATTAGAAGGTGGGGGTGGGGAGACTGAGTCATGAGAGTGGAACCCTCGTGGAGAGAATCAGCGCCTTATAAAAGGCACCAGAGGGCTCTCTTGCCCTCTTTTCTCCAAGGGAGGACCCAGGAGAAGACGGCCCTCTGCAGCCTGGAGAGGCCCACCCTGCGGGCACCCTGAGCTCAGGCCTCCAGCCTCCAGCCTCCAGAACAGCAAGATGGTGACGTTGGTGGCTCATAAGCCACTCAGTCCATGGGACTTTTCGAAGCCGTCCAACCAGACTCAGATGGAGCAAGTCCTGGCACCCTAATAACACAGCCTTCAGCTGGCCCCAAAGAGAAAACATGAGAGACTGAGGCCAGACGGCTCAGGAGCATCAAGAAGGAGATTTGGGGGCCGGGAAGACCCGGGGAAGCAGCAAGGGAGTGGCAAGAGAGTAGCCAAGGCCAGCGGGGACGTCCGTCCAGTCCCAAGGGTGGAAAGGCCGGCCTCCCACAGGCTCCAGGCTGGATTCCGTTTGCCGGTAACCGTTGTTAAATACACGCGCACATTTGCTCAGAGCTTGACTGTGTTACTTCCAATCAATTCTTTTTTCTCTTTAAGATCTGGAGATCCAATTGGCTAACCCAGCATGAGGTCAGCACAGCCAGGTCCAGGCCTGCCCCGCCCCGCTGCACAGCTGACGCAGGGATGCTGCCACACAGCCCGGGATGGGGGACGTTTCCCCAGGGTCGGCCTGGGGTGCCGGGCATCGGCAGAGCCTGCGTCTGGACTGAGGCTACCGTGGGAACACCCACAACGCATCCCTCAGGCTCCTCCCTTCGAGGCACACGAGAGTACGGACACACCAACCCCCACCAGAAGCAGGTCAGAAAATAATTAAGTGGAATAATGGATAACAATGTTGACACATTTCTACAACCTTGGAAACAGGTTTATTATCACAAAAAATAGAAACCTAGTCAGAGCTTCTATCAGGGCTAAAGGGACTTGCTGTCTCATTTTAATCCATAGTGAATGGGGGTATCAGTGGGACACCAGGGACCTATCGAGTGTGGGGAACGTCCCACGTCATCCCTACGAAAGTGTGGGGCTGAGCGTCACGTCCCAGCACAGCATAATATCCAGTTTCTCGATACAAAGACCTCAAAGGAGAAGAGAAGGTGGAGGTTACCTCCAACATCCACCTCACCAGGTGGGAGCTTCAGTCACCGCCATGTTTCTCTGTGTCGGTTCCCAGATGAGGAAGCCCTGTGATGAAGGCAGGAGATGAACTCTGTGGTCCTCCCAGCAGGGGACTTGGGGGAGGCCAAGTCTTCAACTGAGGGGAACACAGTCCTGGGTGGGTTCTACACTGGCTGGGGGTGGGCATGTTTTGTGGAAATGCATTCTTTTTTTTTGTTGAGACGGAGTCTTACTCTATCACCCAGGCTGGAGTGCAGTGGCACAATCTCAGCTCACTGCAACCTCCACAGGTTCAATCGATTCTCCTGCCCCAGCCTCCCAAGTAGCTGGGATTACAGGCACCCACTACCACGCTGAGCTCATTTTTGTATTTTTACTAGAGATGGGGTTTTACCAAGTTGGCCAGGCTGGTCTCGAACTCCTGACCTCAGGTGATCCTCCCAGCTCGGCCTCCCAAAGTACTGGGATTACAGGCATGAGCCACCACACCAGGCCTGGAAATGCATTCTTATGGCATTACCATGGAAGCATATCTCCCCCATGGGCTGGAGGAGCCTGGGGAGAAAAGGATTGCCTTTCCAAAAAAACCTATTCATGACAACAGAATTTAGAATTTGCAGCTGAATTTTCCAAGCTCTACCATTCTTTCTTTCCTTTTCTTCCCCGTCCATTTCATTACTTCTAGCATAGACAGAAGGAAGAAAGCTGGAGAAAAAGGCGAGACGCAAAACTGACCACACAGATTACTCCTCGTACCTGAGTAAAAACTGCATGGAGGAGCTTGAAAGAAAAGGCTCTAATGAGGTCTGGGGTCATCGGTGGCTCCCTCCTCCCCAAGAACAATAACCAAGGCTTCATCACATTTTCCTCAACCACGAAGGCACCAACCGCTAAGTGATAATGATAAAACCTAATGACTATTTCCCCGTTAAGTGCTCATTTCAGTGCCGCACTTGGAGTATTCTATGCTTATGCATGTCAGAAACCAAACATTGATCACTTATGAGTCAGTCAGGTCCAGATACAGGGGCGGATCATAATGAATTAAGATGACATGTTTGCTGACTCTGGTGGCAAGTGCTGATATGTTTTGAAATAACCGTTGTATTTACCATAATTTAGGAGAGAAAGGCCAATTGAGCCTTCCCTGCCTGGGGCCATGTATTATTTTACCAAAAGTTACATCTTAAATTGGAAAGTATTTATAAAGATTAAGTAGCACAAAACAATCAAGCTCTTATTCCCATGAATGAAACGTGTTTCCCCACCCACTCCGTGCTGCCTAAGAAATGTCGGGAGATTCAATTCAGAAGCCATTATGAGACCATAATGTGTTTGCAGTTAGACATTTGGTTGGAATCCAGACCCCACCACTAATTAGGAGTTGGGTCTTCAGCTAGGTGACCTGGGCGGCCTCTGCCACAGGATGAGGACAAGACTCCATGCAGAGGGGCCCCTGAGACAGAGAATGTGAGTCTAGCACAGAGCCCACACCGAGTAAGCACTCAAATGATGACGAGAGGGAGACAGTACCTCGTATTTAAACAGAAGCTTATGTCTGACATCTCGTACCAGAGTCTGCACGCTCTTCAAGATGAGACAGAGTCTTCCTGTTCTCTCTTGTCAGCATGGGCTGCTGAGAAGCTGCCCCTCTTCCAAGGTAACTGAGTTTGCCTCGAAGACTTCTCTTCTCAAAAGGAAAACTTGCTCCCTGGCACGCCCTGGCCCATCTGGTGCCCCCACAAAGAATATTCACTAACAAGTCCCAAGCCTGAACCCCCAAGTAATACCCACGACCCTGATTCTACGGGTCCCGAGCAGGCTGGTTCTGGGACTGGAGGTGGCACCGAGACAAGATGGCACGTTCGTCATCCCTTTCCTGCTGGCCACTCGCCAGCTACTCAGGCAGTGAGGGGCCCGCTGTGCGTGGTGGCCACATTCACAAAGAGGGCCAGGATGCCATGGGCTTTGTCTTCTCAGACGGGTAGATAAAGGGTATGTGTGTGCTCTGTGTAGCTATTACCCATCACAGGTTCCACTTACCTGCTCTCCTAGCATGTGTTGTGTGTGTGCATTTGCACACACATGTGCTCCAGATCCTGATGTAAGAGGCAGGCACTCTGGATCAGTCAGGGAAGTGTGGAGGCCTCCGGTGAGAAGGAAGGCATTGGCTCTGGGTGGGTGGCTCTGTTCCCCAGTCCGCTGGGCTAAGTTGCCATCCTAGAACACCATAAAACCTGTTCTATGTGGTTTCTCTGCGTGGCCACTGGGGGTGAGCAGCTCTGGACATGCCCTGCCACGTCCCCCTGGGGAATGACATGTGGCCTCCACTCTGGATGGATCCCTTTTGTCCTCAGACGGTTCCTACCTGGCCCAGGATTGCTGGACTCTCCCATTTTCCTACAATGCTTCTTTCCTGTTTGCATGAAAACAACTTCATCTCCACATGTCAGGGACAGGAACATAACTGAGAAGGGACTGAACGCCCCAAGAATCCACCGCTTCTGAAGCACGCCCCACTCTGTGCGCTCCTGTCTGCTGGGAGAACTGCGTTTGTACACCGTCCATGTTAAACTCTTTCTCATGCGCTTCATGGTGAGCTCATGGCATTTTCAGGCTCCTCTCTGCCCCAGCCTTCAGCATTCTCATCCTCCCGTCCTCCCATCGGCGGGGGGTGCCCTGCCAGCTGGCTGCTTCATCCCTTCCACTCTGTCCCTGCCCATCAAGACAGGATCGCTTCTTTCTGGCAACAGGAAGAGTGTGTTGGAGAGAGGGATGTTCCAAGCCACCCTCATGTCTTCCTGCTTCGAGCTGAAAGACAGCAGTTGCCCTGCAAGGGGTCCTGGTTGCAGTTATTGGAAAATAACGCCGGGAACCACAAGCTGGCAAGGGGGGCGGGGGTTGCAGGGCAGTGCGGAGGCGCAGACACACCACAGTTGCTGGTTGACGATGGAGCTGAAGCAGTTCTTTGAAGAGTTTGAATTCATTCCAGATTTCACACATTTGTAGGGCTTTGTATTTTTATATAGCATAAGACGTTCTCAACAACGATTTTGCTGTGCTGACAGTACAAAGGAAATAAAAAGAATGATCCACTGGGCCATTTGAATGGATGTGGGCTATACCCCCAGGAGTGCCAGCCGAGGCCTTGAGGCTGAGCAGATGGGCACGTTACCTGTCACCTGGTGGGTGCCACCTCCCTCATTCATTTTATTCAGCAAATACCTGCTGAGGACCTGCTTCTGCCCCTGTCATGCGCTGATCCAGGCTGTTGTTAACCCAGATGGGGTGGCTGGCAGAAAGGGACAGCTTCAAGCTCTGTTTCCGCCTGCGCCCCTCACGCTGATCCCCACGTGGCTCTGCATTCCCAGCTCTCGTCCCTCCTGCTTTTATGGTGGTGACTTCTAAAGAGTCATTTGATCCAGCCTGATTCTCCCCATTCAGGTCACCATCTCCTTGGGGAAGCTGCTTCATGCTTGGAAACAGCCAGAGAAAGCTCTGGTCCTGCCCCCAGACCCAGCCCTCCACAACTGCCGTGTGTCCCCGGTTCTCCAGCCGACACCAAGTGCTCAGAGAGAGACTCGCTGCCTCTGGCTGCAAAACTGGCTGACAGATGACTTCTCTAGAGAATCTGTGAGTGGCACTCAGGCTGACACAGCCACCACTGCTCGCCTATGGACAGGGGATGGACCCCCTCACAATTTCTGTTTCCAAGAGAAACACCAATCCCACCTTCACTCTGAGAGTTTACAGATACAGATACGTTAACCTCATGATTCTACAGCAGCTGAACCCGACGTCCCTTCACTTACCAGCATTTTCCTATGCAGCACAAACCAAGCCACAGGAGTCCATGGACTGTGGGAGCAAATTCACACTGGACTCCCGGGGGTCATGGGGTCACTGCAGATCAGGAAAGGTTACTCTACACCCAGAGATCCCTTTAGCACCCAGAGAGCACCAAACCAGAAGGTGGTCAGTCTTTTGCTCAACGGGCCACTGGATCTTCCCAGCCCACACATTGCACACATGCACACAAACACACACATGCACACACATGCATGTACACACAAACACACACATAAACACACATGAACACACACGCTTAAACCTAGAAAAATCCAGAACACAAACAGCTACCTGTTAATAGGCCTTTCATGCAGAAAGGACCGTTAAGATCACGTAAAATGCCTTCTGCAGAGCCAGACACAAGTATGTTTCTTTTTACACATTCAGTTAAAAACAGGTCGGAAATTCACATCTAGTATAAAATTATTAATGTTTTCCACAGAAGCGGGTATCCAAATATTCAAACAGATCCAAGGCTGTCACCCCAACCCTCCATGTCTTAATCAGCACGGCAGCCAGGTCTCACGGCACTTCTCCCCAATGAGCCAAACCCAAGGAAGCTGAGAGCACCTAGGGCAAGAGCGTCTGCAAGGAGGAGCCTCATCTCACATTTTCATTTTGCAATGCGGCTACTCATGCTTCCCAGAGATGGATGAATAGTCTATTTCCATAAAGGCTCTGCTTGTCCTCAGAGACCGGGGCCCGGGGGTGCAGGCAATGGAAACCTGACAGATGGCCAAATCGAGAAATCAAGAGCACTTTGGGGAGTCAGCGATGATTTCCTGCACAGGGATCAGCACAGTGGTGGGGCCGAGTGGCCGCCAGGTGGCCCGCTCAGTTGCTGTTAATGTGATGTGACAAGGCTATTTCTCTCCCCCAGTCAGTGGCTGGGGGACTCCGCTGTATAAGTCAGTCCACTGGAAGTTAAGTATTAAACAAGGCAAAACAAACCTTGTCTTTGGTGTTGAGACACATTTCCAGGGGTGAAATTTGTGGTGAAACAGCTTCAAAACAACTCCATGGAGTCAAACTCTGCTGCAGCCCTGTGACGTCCAAACCCTCGCCCTCTTTTCTTTCCCATTATTTGGTTGCATTGCTTTTCCACTTTGAGATTAGGGTATGAATAACATGTAGCTCTGTGCTCTAATGGAGCTCCCAACAGCTGCAAGTGTCTCTCGTGAGTTGAAAGAAAGCCATATCAAAAGGGCAAACCTCCTGAATCCTCAGAGCAACCCGGAGCAGAAACAGAAATGCAAACGTGTCATTCTGCCATTTGTAGGAAGATTCCCATTATCGAGGGAAGCCGAAATGTTTAGAACAACAGATTTGCTCAATGTAAGCATTTGCTGAGCAGCAACTATGCATCAGGCATTGGGGATACCAAGAGAGATGTGACATGGACCGTGCCCACAAAGAGCCTCCACCCTAAGGAAGAGTCAGGCCAGCACCATGTGAGACAGGCGGTGTAAGCACAGAGGGGGACAGCAGGGTGGGAAAGGCACGGCAGCGCAGTTATTGTCTAACCTAAGTCAGGGGAAGGATGAGAAGAATGCACGCAGGTCCAGAGGGAATGGAGATGGCAGTGGTTTAAGGCAGGAGACCAGCAGGGACGAGAAAAGGGGCCCATAGGTCTAGAAAAGTCAGACACAAGCCACTGTTCTAATCCCAGACAGCAGCATTCATGGTGGGGGAGCAGACAGCAAAGACAAAATTGGGAAAAAGAGTAGGACTTGGTGACTGATTGGATGAGAAGAGGACTGGGTGAGACAGAGAATTTGAAGATGACTCTGAGGTTGGGTCTTACATGAATATGATTCCTCATTCAAGACAAAAAGTCAAAGAGAAAGGTCAATATGAGAAATGTGGCATTTGAGGTACATCAGCCAATAGCCCAGGAGACATAGCTCTGTTGGAACTGCACCTGGTGTGGGTGTAAATCACCGGGATCAGTGGATGAGAGGGTGTCCAGTAGAGGTGGACCACGAATGGAGCTCTGTGCAGCTCCCACACCACAGCACATGAGAGGGAAGGGACAGGGCTGAGAAGTGGAGAAAACTGAAAAGGGCTCATCAGAACATGTGATGCACCAAGGGGTGCCCCTCCAATGTCATCCAGCATCTTCCAGGATGAAGGGACCAGATGACTGGGTCACCCTAGTGGGACAGGCAGCTCCATCTGTAGACCTCTACTCTTCTAGGTGCTGTGAGGGGCACCAAGGCATGGCCTCCAGTGTCAAGGACCCACCATCTAATAGGAGACAAGACTTACGCACATGGAATATATTGATAACAGAGCACAGATATTCTGGATTTATGTCTAACTTTTTCAGAAAGAAAACACACACACAGCAGGTTGGAATTTGGAGAGTTTGTGAGGGAAGGGAGGTAAATTATTTAAGGAAATGGCAAATAAAGATACCAGAGGAGGAAAAGAAACTACTAGCAATAAGGTAGTTTTAAATCAGCATTATCAACAATTACGTTAAATAGAAATGGCCTAAAAAACAAAAGACAGAGATGGTCAGACAGTAAAGAAGTATGATCGAAATATATGCAATCTACAAGAAACTCACTTTGAAAGTAGACAAGCATACATATATGTATGAAACTATATGGTACATGCACATGTTAAATGCAAAAGGATGGGGAAAGAGACATTGTATAAACACGAATAAAAAGAAAGCGACTTGACACGCTTATATTAGTGCCAAACAAAGTTGACTACGGAATGGGGACGGTTACAAGAGATAAAGTGGAACTATACGTGAGAATAAGATCGATTCCCCAAGAAGATGCAACGATCCTGCCCGTGCACCTAGCAACAGAGCTTCAATGTACATGAAGCAAGATCCAAGAGGACTGAAAGGCAAAAATACACAGATCTACAAAGAGAGTTGCAAACGTCACTGGTTCTCTTTGGGTAATTGAGAAAACAAGTGGACAGAAAACCAGCAGGGATGTGGAGTATCTGAATAACAGCATCAGCCAACTTGATCTAACTGGCACTCATAGGACATGACATCTGATGACAGTGGAATCACATTCGTTTCCAGATTAGATTAAATATTCATAAGATAGTCCATATTCTGGACTTTAAAACCTCGACAAACATAAAGGGAAAACAGTCATACAAAGTACGTTCTGTAACCCAAATTAAGTTAAACCAGAAATCAAGAGCAGAGTTCTCTGGAAAATGCCTCAAAATGCTAAATGAAATAACACGCTTCTACAAAATGCCCGGGCCAAAGAGGAAGTCGCAAGGAAAATAGCTTTAATCGAATGGAAATAAGAGCACAATGCTGTCAAATGTGCAGGATGAAGCCAGGGCAGCGCTTTAGCAATAAGGTCACATAGAAAGGAAAGAGTCTCAAT